CATACATACATACATACATACATAATACACGTTTCTCACACACATACACACACATACATACACACACTCTCACCCTTTCTCACACACACGCAGGCGCAACCTCACTTCCTGGAGGACGTCAACGCGGGTAGCGATATAGACCCGGACCTTCCACCACCACTACCACCACCACCACCACCACCACCGTTGGCCTCCACGACGGCGGCGGCGGCGGCGGGCGTCACAGCCGCCGCCGTCGCTGCTGCCGCGGTAGGAGTAAGCGGGGGCGCTGTCCCGAGCACCGCCACAACCACCCCCGTTGGCGGCAGCGGCGGTGACGGCGGCATCGGTACGGCAGTTCCATGCGGTCTCCAGGGCCCCAGCGGCGGCGTCAGTGGCGGCGGCCCCGCCGCTGCCTCTCCCCCTCCCTGTCCTCCTCATCCTCATCCGCCGCCGCCGCCGCCGCCAGCTGCGTCTTCTAGCGGGTGGGTTCCTGCGTCGGATCCGTTCCAGAGGGGTCGAGCGGCGCAGCGGTCGGCGCTGGCCCGGAGCCTGGGGGAGGAGGCGTTCATGTCGCTGCTGGCGAGGGTGGGTTATGTGGATGGGGGGGAGGGAGGGAAAAAGGGGAACCGTCGGATGCTGGTGGTGCTGCTGCTGCTGCTGCTGCAGCTGATGATGATAAGGAGGAGGAGGAGGAGGAGGATAGTCAGGGTGTCTGCAGGTCTGCTTATCCGCCTGCTTGCTTACCCGTCTGTCTGTCCGTCTGTCTGTCTGTCTCATGACGTGCATCCCACCTTCACCTTCTACACGCCCCCTCCTCCTCATCCCCCCTATTTCCCCAATTCCCCCCCCCGCACCCGCACCCGCACTCTCTCTCTCTCTCTCTCTCTCACACACACACACACAGATAGATGCCGCCCATGCTATGGTGTGCGGTGGCTGTGAAACCCCCCGTACTCCCCCACCCGGCCACCAGCCCCCGCTCCCCCCGACGGGGGTGGGGATGGGGGTGAGGGTGATGCGGCCGTCGGAGTGCGAGGGGATGCTGTCAGCGCCCTCGCAGTACAGACCCTTTGACCTCAAGCACGGCCTCCAACAGGCGTCAATTATCGGTGCGTGTGTGGGGGGGGGGGAAGGGGGGGGATGTGTGGGGAGAATATGTGTGTGTGTGTTGGTGTGTGTGTGTGTGTGTATTGGGGGGGGTGTTCTTACCGCGTTTTCCCAAATTCAGGAAAAAAAACAGCAACAATAACATAGGGGGGAAAGACGAACCACGAACGAGTGAAGGACATACGGGGGGAAGGGAGGAGGAGGAGGGAATAGGGAGCACAGCATCGAACTGTTAAGCATATCGCGGGCATCACGATGGGTAGATAGAAAGATGGTAAGAAAACATCCTAAATACATTCGGGTGAAATGTTCAGATAAAGGTAAATGAGGCATGGAGTTGATAAACACATCATGTGATGTACACATGTGATGTATGCCGTACAGGTAGTGCCGTACGACCTTGTAAAGCTGTGGTCGTGAATGTTATCGTGTATACATCTAGCCCTGCTACATGTACGTCCGTCTGTAAGTCTCCCCTAACCCCCTTCACTCGTCCGTGGTTCGCCGTACCCCTCTTCAGGTAACATGCAGCGAGTGGCCTTA